GTTGCCGACTGAGGTTAAACCACAACAAAACTAAAATTAACTTTTATCAAAAAACTTTGACATTCCAAGTTTTCTTTTCTTTGCAAAGTTCATATGAAAGAAATGTGTGGTTTTGCATGAAATTTCAGGCAAAAAGACATTCTGAAAATTTGTCAAGCTGCTCCTCTAAAATGTTCAATATTTTTTATCATTTTAATTGATCCTTTCCCAAGAAAATGCAAATGAACTTTTCTGAAAATATCCCATGACGTCCTTGCCATCTATTAGAGAAGCTGTGGGACACAACATACTTCTTTTTTTTTCTTCCTCAAGATAATACTACTTCTGACTATGGAGCTGGTGTAGTTCAGGCCACCAAGCATACAGCAACATGTCCTCACCGATCCCTATCATACTGTTTGAAAGAAGCTGCAGAAGGCAAATCTGCACTGTGAGAGAGAGAGAGACTCATCCCACCTACGCTAATGAAATGAAAGTCTGCAGAAAGTCATATGCAAAAAGGTAAGCAGAGGTCTGGATGAGAAGCACGCTCTTGCTTTCATTCACACCCCCTCAGGCACACTCATACCAGCTCACTCTGCCTTGACCAAAGACAACATTCATTTACATGTCTATGAATATGGAGATCCCACATACTCAAAAATTACAAATGAAGGCCCATGGAAACCCAATGTACAATAACGTTCTCCTTTGAAGAAGATAGTGAAGCAATATTCAAGTTTGGCTTGCCCCTTCCAATGTGTGTGTGAAACACAAACACAGTTCACTTGTGAGCAACCACTTAAGCAAGTGTTCACAATGTTCTTGCCGGTTGTTTATGGGCCAGGGTGGTTAGTCACAGTGGGGAAAAAAACCTTTGACTCAAACAGGATTGCTGGAAACCATCCTTCCTGCAATGTTTTACTTAGGAAGCAGGCAGCTTTTCCAGAGCTGTCAGATAGGATGAGGTCAAAACCAGAATAGTATGAGAGAGATCCGAAATAATGATATTTGCTAAATATATGCCAGAAATTAATAATGTTATAGGGTGCAGACCTTCCTTCACTGACATTAGGGACAGAGAGCAGCGGATGAAAGCCAGAAAGCATCTCCTCCACAGACATACACTTGTAACACCTCTACAAGGTAACAGCCAACATAGTCAAGTATTGATTGAGAAGTCTGACCGGTAAGTTTAGATGGCAATGATATCATTATTCTCCTTTTTCATAAAAAAAGACAAGCTGGTATCTTCTAATACACAAGAAAGGACCAGGCAGAAGATACTGAAAAAGGAAACGAAACTTTCACTACAGGGCATAGAATAAAAAACAACACCACTTAGAAATGATGGTAGAAATAACAGTATTACTAAGAAATAAAAACAGTTGACAGTTTGGTAGTACTTCCCATTTTCATTGCATAACACAACCATAAACTAACCTAAATGTTAGCCTTGGAAGTCCAAAACAACTACCACATAGAAGATACAAATAATCTTGCAAAAATGAATGTGTAAACACTGCACTATCTATCACCAAGTCCATAAAACGATTGTGAATTCTGTTTAATTTTAGACTTTGAAATGGGGTTTCAATGTAAATTAACTAATAAATCCTTTCAGAAATACCGTGCTTCAAAAGACTCATCATGAGGAAGCCTGGGAAAACTGTACTTCAGCTGCGGTCTTTCAGACACTCAGCAAGCGCTGGAACCAAACCTTGACTTCTCAGGCCAATTGTCCCATCCCTGGACTTCAAAGTAACTTCTCTACACCACTGTTTGAATGAAAACCTGCACAGTCCTCACTAGTCCAATAACTGAGGAAGAAGAGAGTGAAAGCAACCCACCAACAGCTCCCTGCTGCCCAGTGCAATCCTGCAAGCTGGAACTCAGCTTTTTAAACTCCTCAGGCATTAAGGGGACCCCCTAAACTTGCGTTGACTGGACTATTTGATAAAGTGGAAGTGCTAGCAGGATGATGAGTACAGTCTTTTGTTATTCTGGCTCTTCTACAAGCTCCTGTAATTGAACTGTTAAATTCAATAAAAAATGTATTACCGATATGTTCATCTGCATCGAAAAAAACTATCACTACCACCACCACCATAACATACCAGATCAGCGCAACTGGATTTTCTTCTGTTCAGGAAGCCAAAGTAAGCTAAGTTATCCATCATTTTCCAGAACTGCCACGCATTTTCTGCTTTCTCTATAAGAAGTGTTACAGGGAAAGAGAGGGTGTCCTGGGTCCAAGAAAAAGGGCAGCGCACCCTGCAGTGCAGCCTGCCAGCACCTGCCCAGTGAGCCAAGCTCAAAGACAGCATGATGTGTGACCAAGTGGGAAAGCAGCCACAAATATTTTGGTAAAACAAACAGTGCAGCACAGGCTGAGTGAGGCAAACAAACCAAACTGTGAAATGATTATAGGTTTATATATCAGGATAAGAGTTTACAAATCATTGGTACGATACGCTACATTACAGTTTCAAGCCAGGGAGTAACAAAGGAAACTATTTTTAGCCCAAGAATATATAATCACTTACCTAAGATTACTGCCATGCTATTCACCGTGGTTTGGGTTTTTTTGTTCTTCTT